ACCCTCGAGGGTTGAGCCAGTATCTGCATAAATTATTTGGAATTGTCTGATAACTGGATATTCATTTTATACTTTTGGTTATAAGCCGATACTGTCTATTTACTTTGTTGCTCAAATTGTTCCAGCATTGGCCTTTAGGAGCTCTTTTAGTCGGGTCCTCTGTCCCTTTGTCACACCCCCATCACTGTGCGCGGAGGGAGGGGAGCGCACACTCCCTTCCTTTCCGGCACTATGCGGCGCATCAGGCTCATCTTGTCTATTTCCTGCCCCAGCCCTAGAGTCAGCCATTTCTCCAGAGACCAGTATTGGAGAAAAATATCAGAAACCAAGGTCTAGTGCATTCATTGTTGCTGAGGTATCATTGCTTGTAGGCCCATCCAGCTGACAGAGCAAGGGGGTTTATGTGTATACTAACCTATGTATATGTACACATCTGTAAACACTCACATACATGTATATGTAATCCGTAGATACAGATGCACGTATCTTTATCTACATAGTAAGGTAAACAGGTTCATAGTGATGTCTCCAACTCTGATCCATCACCACATGGATCATTCTAGTACCTCCCCTTGCTCGTCTGTCTCTTCCCACTTCCACAGTGAGAAGCCTGGCTCCCTTCATCTGCCTTCCACTTACTTAATTGTCTCATTTCAGTGCACACGTAGAGTGGCTTCGGAATTATTGTCCTTTTACCCCCTTGGGGAACAACGTTGTCAACTAGAGCGTAGTGCTCACATGCGATTCCTTTTGCCTTTGGTCATCACTGACTCCGCTCACTTCCAAAGGGAAAGCACCTTTCTCTAGGCCCCCCTCAGTGAGGCGCTCTTGTATATGTGTAATACACATAGATTCTTTGGTCACGGTCCGCATTCCTTCCTCGGATCCCCCAACCTCCTGAAATATTATTTTTTTAATTTTCCATATATTAAGATTCACTCTTTCTGCTATACAGTTCTCTGGGTTTTGCCATATGCAGAGTGCCACGGGGCCACCATTACAGCATCATACAGAGTAGTTTCACGTCCCTAAACACCCCTGGGTTTCCCTTAGTCAAACACTACTCCCCCCACCCCCACCCCGCAAACCCATGGCAACCACTGATCTATTACTGTCTCTATAGATTTGCTTTTTTCTGGAATGTTATATAAATGGAATCATACAGTACGTAGCCTTTTCCAGACTGGTTTCTTTCACTTAGCGATATGTATTTAAAATTCACTCATTTCTTTTCATGATTTCATAGCTCTTTCCTCGTTATCACTGAATAGTATTCCGTTCTCTGGACGGACCACAGTTTATTTATGCATTTACCCACCAAAGGACATTCTAGTTGCTTCTACCTTTTGCCAATTGTGAATAAAGCTGCAGTAAACATCTGAGTACAGGTTTTTGTGTGGACAAAATTGTCAAACCCTTTGGGTAAATACCAAGGAGTGCAACTGCTGGATCGTATTAAGACTACGTTTACTTTTGTAAGAAACCACCAGACTGTCCACAGCGGCTGCACCATTTTGCATTCCCACCAGCGATGAATGAGAGTCCCTGTGACTCCGCATCCTCGCCAGCATTTAGCGTTGTTAGTATTTGGGTTTTGGCCTTTCTCATAGGAACATAGTGGTATCTTGTGTTTTGTTCTACAATTCCCTAATGACATATGACCTGGAGCATCTTTCCATGTGCTTATTTGCCCTCTGTATTTCTTCTCTGGTGAAGGGTCTGTTCAGATCTTTTGCCCATTTTTTAATCGAGTTGTTCGTTTTCTTATTGTTGAGTTTTAAGAGTTCCACGTCTGTGTCGGATAACAGTCCTTTATCAGATACATTTTTTAAAATTCCCCCCTACCTCTTCCACCCCTGACCTACGAATATTGCCGTCTCCCCTTAAGAACTGGATCTCTGAAGGCGGGGCGTCTCCTCCCACGCACTCGTGGCGCACACCCGGGGGGCCTGGCGCACCCCAGGACCTTCTGCATGTAAAGCAGACGTGTTAACCACGACTCTGTGGAACCACCCCGATACATTTTCTTTTTTGTAAAGATTTTCCCCCAGCCTGTGGCTCGTCTTATCTTTTTCCTAGCAATGTTCTTTGCGGGCCAAACATTTACAATTTTGATACAGTCCAATGTATCATTTTTTTCCGTATTGTATCTAAAACCGTATTTTCTCCTGTGTTTTCTTCTAGAACTTTGGCATTTTACATTCAGGTCTATGATCCACTTTGAGTTAATTTTTCCTGTACGGGATCTCCTGACATGATTTTGGAAAGCCCTTTATCCACCACCACCCAGCACATGTGTTTTGAAATCTGCATCTACAGCATTTCAACAATTATTTAAATGGTTGTGAAAGGTGTAATTCTAGTGTATTATACTGACTCAAAACAAAAACTGTGCCATCACTTTTTACCTGAGGCCAATGGCTTCGAAATCATCTGGTGAACTGACACCTGTGTTTATCATAAACTGCGCATGCTGATTTTTCTTTCCCAGGCTCACCTTGGAAGTGGGCCCTTTCATTACTGTCTCCTCTGCTTTTCATCTGCTGCCCTTCAGAGAGATCTCCATGTGCCATCTCTCTCCACATGGGCAGTCTTGTTACTGCTCCTGCAAAACACAAATGTATGTATGTTACATTTCTTGTTATAACATGTGACCATCGTGTTTCTTCTGGCATAATCATCAAATACGAAAGTAAGATGGGCTCCAGTCTGAGTCAAATAGGACTTACTGCCAGTGTGAGATGGAGCTCATTGTCAGCCACATTCCTTTTCTCTGTTTTTAGATGTAAGCTCGAGGAACCCCTGTTCACAGAGATGAGCAGTTGGGAGAGGGCCCCATGCCGCTGAGCTCCGGGGCCCCTGGAGCCTTCTTGAGTGAACTAGGAGGGGCAATTGGGAAAGGACGGGGGGATGGGAACTGGAGGGGGCCTTCTCAGACTTATTGACTTTTGGACAGAGTACATGTGGGAGTCGAGGTTCAGAAAGATAATTTTAAAAATACCTCTGCCTGAGATGTGGACCCTCTTGAAGACTCTCACACCAGGACCCTGCGAAGATGGATTCAGCGGGTCATTCCTGGACCCTGCGACTCCATTGAGCTCCTGTGACTCTGGCCCGTGTGGATGTGTTCCTGTCAACAGCTAGGACACCCGTCCCCCATCACCGATGAAGCCTGGACCCCCCTGGGAGGAGTAGCAGAACGAATGGGAGTGAGTGGGAGGAATCCACTCGTTGGTGGATGAGGGATTGAATTGGTCACCCGGCACTTATTTCCTGAGCAGTTCTCCTGGGCTAGGTCTGCAGAGACACTTTTTGGGAACGGATGCTCTGGCGGAGGAAGGACACAGAAGGTGATTTTGCAGTGACGGATGTTCTGAAAACAGAGGGAAGTGGGGACAGGGGGGAGGCCTGTGTGAAGAAGTAACATTTGAGCTGAGACCTGATGGAGTGAGGGAGCAAGCGAAGCAGATATCTGGGGGAAGAGCATTCTAGGCAGAGATGCAGCGAGTGCAAAGGCCCCGGGGCAGGTGCATGTTGGCCTGTTTGAGGGTCATGTGTGGGACGCACCCCATGCATGGTGTATTTGAGGGCCAGTTAGGAAGCCTGTGTGGCTGGAGTTGGCTGGAGCTGCTTGAGCAGGGGGGAGAGTGGGTGGAGAGGGGTCAGAGCAGTGGTGGGGAAGGGCGACCGTAAGACTCATGCTTTGGAATGTCATTGAAAGCCATGGGACGGTTTGTAGCCCAGGGTGACATGATCTCAATAATTGGAATGCTCTGGCTTCTGGGTGGGGAAGACTGGGGTAGGAGAGGTTAAGGGTGGGTTCAAAAGGCAGAGGGAGCCCAGTGAGAAGGCCGTGGCTGTCATCCAACTGAGTGCTGATGGGGGCTCAGGCCAGCGTGGCGGAAGCGGCAGGGCTGGGCTAAGAAAGGAGGCTGTTTTAGACCAAATGGTCTGGACCGAGCTGAGAGCCCAAGGCATGCAGAGAGCTGTGTCAACATGTGAATGAACAGAACTCTGGACAGAGGACATCGGTAGTGCAAAGGCCCTGGGGCCGGCCCAGCCAGGCCACCAGAGGGCTGGAGACAGCAGAAATGGTCATGAATGACCGAGGAGGGCGGCAGAGGCCGGCGCTGATTGCCTT